GTGTGCACACCCTCTAAAAGGGATTCCAAGCCCTCCGAGTAGTAAGAAGTCCAAGTAGTTCGGACGTCAACGTCCCCCTACTCCACCAAAAAGGGATTACCCTATATAAGTGACTAGGTTACTGCTACTACTGAATAACAGGGTGTTTTGCCCGAATTTGAATTTAAATAAAACAACCACTTTAACCAATCTCCACAGTCAAGGTCGTGGACACCAAATCCCAACAAGTAATAGCAGTCCTAATCACTCTCCACAGTCAAGGTCGTGGAGAACACCGACATCCCGGATTTCTCCCGTGATGCCCTTACATTGAAAGGTTCATTTTATCTTTATTATTTTCCAAAAATTCAGGGATTACTACACACGTAATTTCCCCAAAGTTATTCAACATTCAACAATGCATCACATATTCATAAATTGCTCAACAAATAGTCAAATAGTACATCATATTCATACATACAATATATACGAGGTAAAAATGTATTTTGGTTGCAATGTGACTTACCTCAAATTCCAGAGATTCCTAACAAGCTTCTCTAACGTATTCCTCTCCAAGTTCACCTTCTATTAATTAAAACTCCCAAAGTCAATATTCACTATAAATTATACACCGTAGCGCAATTGTCTTACCCTTCTTGCTTTAATTATTATTCCTTTCTGTTTTATTATTCTCAAGGTTCATTAATTTGATATACACTATTTTTAATTTGATTTAACCGTGATTAGTATACCTATTGTGTCAAGTCTAATTCAATCGGTCCACTTATTCTAATCAGTTTAATTTATCAAAGGTCCATCTCGTTTTAATTAAAAATTATTATTAGTTCCAAATTCTGTGTATTGTTATGTCTAATGATCGTCGATTTATTTTTATGTTAGTTGATCCGTTTATTTTCATGTAAGCCAAGGAATTCAATTAATTTGGTTTAACTAAAATAATAATAATCAAAGTTCCATTTTAAACCAATCGTTGATATTCATTCAGTTTTATCTAGACCAATGATTTTATAACCAATAATCAATCCATTAATTATTATTCGCATTATCACCCTTACTAACATTGTTATTATTTTATTATTATTGCTAGCCTCGATTTAATAATATTTTTCTTAATATTACATTAAGTACTAATTGGTCTATCCATTTAATTATTTTATAATAAACCAAATGTCCATCTTGTAGTAATTCAGTTGGTATAGTGTAAATAGTCCAAATTCGATTTCATTCTCATCGGTCCATTGTTTATCATTAACCATTCCATTTTTATTACGTTCATCTTTTATCGTTATTGTTGGTATTTATTTATTTAATTTCGAACAGTTCATATAATAGGTTAAACAACCAAACCAGTTTAGTTTTAGGCTATTTACTTCAGTCAAATTTATTTTCATAACGGTTCTTCGCATGCTAAACTAATCTGTACAGTTCGGCCGTCCTCTCTACGTAATCGTCGGAACAACTAAGAACGCAGGTTGACGAAAGATTACCTTACTTAGGGTCGTAAAAATGTCCCGGCGGCAGTCCTACGCAGTCCGGCGGCTTTTGGGGTGATCACACGATGGCGTTCGGCGGCAGGCTAGCCTGGCAGAAATCTGCAGCGTCCGTCCTTCTCCAGCAAACTCCGGTGTTCCAAGATCGGCCTTTCTTCTCCCTCCGTCACCCTCTTGCTCTCACGTTTTTTTTTCTCACTCGCAGGTTTGTGCATGGAGATTATGCAGGTCGAAGGAGGCTATTTATAGGTGTAGAGTGAAGGTTCTAGGTCGGGTTTGAGTCTATCAGATCGGTTCACTAGGCTTAAGTTTCGGAGTTAAAGTTTTATCCGATTGGTATTTATCTCATGGAACGTGAACCTGGACGCATACACACTTCGTATTAATTTGCATGTGTGTAATTTAGTAGTATTTCATATATGTTACATAGTTACGTATCAATATACCGAGTCTATACTTTGCTAGTAGTTATAGTTATTAGTTACCTTCGTCGTTCTTATCATCTAGCATTCTCAAGGCTCAAGCTGTGCCAAGTATTATTATTATTATTATTATTATTATTATTATTATTATTATTATTATTATTATTATTATTATTATTATTATTATTGTTATTATTATTATAATTATTATATCACGCATTATGTATACATATGGGTTTGGAAAGTCAAACTCCTTTAATTGTATATGTACGTTGTACTAAGTATGTAGTACGTATGTATAAATATATGTCTCTCTAATTAAATAAGTTGTATATTATACTTCATATATGTTATTTTATCTTATTAACTTAATTATCATAACAACGTCACTTTTGTAACGTTTTATCATATTAAAATTATTCATCATTTTTTTTGAGGTGTTACAACAGTGCCGCCAAAATAGGAACTTCTTTTAACTTTGGAAACCCATTAGTGCACGATTATACCATGTGCATTATTTATCTCACTTTTAATTTTAACTTTGGAAATCATGCATTTATTGTACGATACCTTCAAAATTAGAATCACTTTTAACTTTTAACTTCATATATTTTTAAATAAGGAATATTGCAAATTTTCTCCATGCATGAAATCCCTCGGTTTGCATGTGTAAATTGAAAAAATATTTTCCCATTTTAAATTTTAGTAATTAACTGTCAGGCGTTAAATAAATAACTTGATTTTTGGAATTAAACACTTCTTAATTAACTTTTCATTTTTAGAATTGCATATTAGGGTTATAGAATGTGCATAATATATTAAGGTTGTGAGATAAGGAAAATATGCATAATAAGGAAATCATGCTTATTAAGGTTATGTGATGTGCATATTAATGTCACGTGGCATGCATATTAAAAATAAAGACGTGCATCATACATTTATAATATCTACATAACTTATATTAGAAGTGCATAGCTATAAAATATGTCGATGTTGTATTTTAGCATTTCATATGTCGCATTATATCATCATGACAATGTGCATTTTAAAAGTTCGTACATTGCACTTAAGTAAGATGATAAGCGCTCTTTAGTAGTTCATTCTGCATCTTATCGTTATGACATTTGCATTTTTAGTTCACAAGTTGCATTTTATTATTATGACAAGTGCATTTTGGAAGTTCCTATATTGCACTTTAGTAAGATGCATAGTTTATATTAACTTCTAACATACTTCCTTCGTTCTTAAATAAATGCAATGGTCAACACTTCACACTTGTCGAGACACAACTTTGACCATACATACATATAATTTTGTATTAGTAAAAAAGTTTTAAAAAATTGATTTTGAAAATTTACAATGATGCTAATTTAAATATTTTTTCATAAAAAAATATTAATACATTAATAAATAAAATGTAGTCAAAGTAAAATATGTGAATAGTGTAAAATTCAAAGTGTTGCATTTATTTATGGAGGTAGTATTAAATTTGTAAGAAGTGAACATATGTAAAAGTGTCTGCATTTAAAATTACAAAAAGTGCATAATAAGATTAATGGATGTGCATATTAATCTTCATAACTTATATTAGAACTATATAGTCATAAATATGTCAACGCTGCATTACAGTAGTTCATATCTTGAATTTTATCGTTATAACATGTGCATTTTAGAAGTTTGTGTATTGCACTCTATTAGAAACTTATGTGCACTTTAAAAGTTCATAGCTCACACGTTGCATTTTATTATCATTATGACTTATGCATTTTAGAAGTTGTATAGTGACTTTGGTCAAATGAGCTCCCATTTTCACTTTAGAAGTTACTGCACCTTATCACTATGGCATCTGCATTCTATAGGCAACTGACATGCATACTAAATTCATGATGCTACATAATGCATAATACATGATCAACGTAAGAACACTATACCTATTTCAGGCAGATTAAGCTAGTAGCACTTAAACATGTTTATTTTGTATAAATATGAATTTGATGAATTTCATGAAGACAAAAATCAAAACGTTTAGGTATGATTAATCTTTTAAAAAACAAAAAACAAAGATTTACAAAAATGCAAATTTTCATGGGGAAGGAGAAGGACATGGAGATAAATTAAAAAAGGAAAAAGATATCACGAAACTAGGGTTTAATATCATAATTCATGGCTTCCCCTGTAAATGGTGGTGAAGAAGTTATTTCGAAAGCAAATTTGTACGATGAAGAAGAAACAAAGTTCTGAGATGGGAATGAACTAAAGCAGTTATGAAGAAAGAAACAAATTCCTGAGATGGGAATACCGAAGAAAGAACAAAATAAGATACGGAGTAATAAAGAAGAAGCAGTTATGGAAGGAGAACGTGTTTTGTTCCAAAATTAAAACACTAAAAAGACTAAAGACCCCTCAATTGATTAAGTTAAACAACCGGCCAATTAATAGTGAATGCACGTAAGATCAAATGAGATGGATGGCTAGGATTTGGTTTGTAGGTTAACATATTAAAATAGGTTTGCATTTGATCTCCCATCTATATATATATATATATATATATATATATATATATATATATATTGGTTCAAATGAGAACAAGGCTTAATGTGAGTACGTGAGAACAAATCATGACCATAGATTAACTTATACGGATTTTCAATCAACTTAATTAACTGAAGGGTATTTAGGTATTTTAGAACAAGCCGTTTTTTGTAACCGACATGGGCAATTAATACTTTCTTAAGCTTTTGGTTTTTGGTATTACGTGGTGCACTATACATACGAAACAACTAATTTCACACAATGATCTTTATACATGTTTTTAAGAAACACATCACAAATATTGCATCTCAAGGATGGACTTCAAATGCACATAACCAGTATTTTAGTTTTAGATTTTAACTGTTATACGTATTTTATTAGTTTTTTTTTCTTTAAAAAAAGTCCCATTTTTTATTTAAAGGTATGCGAGATAGAACAAGCATCGTGCATTATCCAGAAACACTCGACCCCGAAAGTTACATAGTTTAAATTTATGATCCAAATTATTTATTTGGTACATAGAGCTCACATTCACCATTAACGGTCAATCAAACTAGTAACAACTCTTTAATCCCACCGACAAACCCTTCTTTAAACATCTTTAGTCAATTCAGAAAAATCAATGTCTCCATTGGAAGTACTCACTTCAGTAGAAGATTCCTTTGAGGGGTTGCCTTCCTCGAGTGGTATACGTCGACGACCCCAGGCTGGGAATGATTTAGTATTAGTACTGCCATTGTCTTCATAAGCACGGGGGAGTCCAAATGAACCAAAGAATCCATTCATTGTCTGCTCCGCTGCATCAAAGAAACGGTACGGTCAAGACCACTGAAGAAGTTGCGTTCCATGGCTTCAATGTCACCATGCAGTCCGGGTAGAAAAGGCCCTTGCTGTGATGAATCAAAAGGGAAACTATTAGTCATTTGGCTTGTCACGTCTTCCTCTGTGTATTCTTTGTTTGATTGCACCATTTCAGAAGGCCTTCCAACGCAGTCCTTGAATATCTGCTCTGTCTTCTCGCACTTCCGGAGGAACTTACCAGGTTCGGACTCCTCTGTTCGGCACTGCGTCCTTACGACTTTCCGGGTGGCGCATTTACCGCCGTCTCTCGCGTTTAACCTGCTAGGGTTAACGGAATCGTTGTCGATATCATAGCCGGAGACGTCACCTGAGAAGTGAGAATCGTCCTCATCGTCACCTGAGACGTATTTTATTAGTTATCACAAATAATTCCGTCCCATGCACTAAAACATCATACTAGTGCACATAACTTTGTCACAAATAATTTCGCCTCATGCACTAAAACATCATACTAGTGCACATAACTTTATCACAAATAATTTCGCCTCATGCACTAAAACATCATACTAGTGCACATAACTTTATACGCCCATACACTTAATTCATTTTCATATTACTACACAAATCCACTGCAGTAGTGCACACCTATGCTTTGTAAACTCAAATACAGAGTATGTTATTCAATACAAATATGCTCCCACTACTATGTGATTGAACTGCACAATCTCTAGAATTTGCATAACTTTATTGTGCATTAGATATCGGTTTGTATATATTACATTCAACAAGCTTCACTTTCTTTTTGAGTACGAGGTCATCTCATATGCATTAGATATCGGTGATTGTGTGTTAGATACATGTTCTTGTGCATCCGGTAGATAAAAATGTTTGTTGTTCTTTATTGTGTGCATCTTACACATATTTTATTTTTAAAAATTATATATGACATATTGATGTCATATGAATGAGCATAAAAAGTTATTTAATTTGGTATAATTTTTGTTAAAATTGGATTATTATTTAAGAAGTTAAATCAATTTATATACCAAAGAAATTTATATGATTTGAGATTTATTAATACCTAGTTTTTAGGAAAATGACAACCCCTCAACCGCATGTTTTTTTAAAATGACTATCATGTCCATCTAACCTATGTTTAATTAAAAGAGAGAGCATGGTTTTTTTAAAGTGTTTGCACTTCCATGGTACATCCGTAGATCTACTCCTTTTTTGACCATTAATTTACTAAGATCTATGGTTAAGATTTCTTCCATATATATATATATAGGTTTTGGTTCAAATAAGAACATGATCTTATGAGAAAAATGAGAACGAATCTGGACCGTTAGATTTGCTTCATGTGAAATTCAATGTGCATTAGATAAAGTTATAATGTGTATTAGGTGTAATTAAAATGTGCAGCACAAATGGTACAATGTAGTGGCTCTATGTGAAGCTAAATTGTGCATTAGGTGGATTTGAAATGTGCACTAAATTAAACTAAATTGTGTAGAATAAAAGGTACGATGTGATGTTATTTTAATTCCTTTTATTCTGCACATTTCAGTTTCACCTAATGCACACGTGAATTTAAATTTTTATTATGCACATTTCAATATCATCTAATGCACATTTCGGTTTCATCAAATGCACAATTCAGTTCCGCATAATTCAATCCAACGGTCCAGATTCGTTCTCATTTCTCTCCTAAGATGCGTTCTTACGAGAACCGCTCCCTATATATATATATATATATATATATATATATATATATATATATATATATATATATATATATATATATATATATAGATTTAGGATCAAATGAGAACAACCCTTAACGTGAGAACGTGAGAACACCACATTTACGCAAATGTGATGCACAATGAGGCTCGCCCAATGCACATTTTCGCGTTCGGCACAGTATTTACTAAAATGCCACCGTCATTATTTATATAGGCTTATTTTGAGCTAAACCCAAATGTGCACCTGACGGGCTCAATTGTGTATCACGCTGGGTTAATTGTGAGTGTTCTCACGTTCTCACGTTAAGCATCGTTCTCACTGGAACCGCACCCTATATATATATATATATATATATATATATATATATATATATATATATATGTTGGGATATATTATCCCGGTCTGTTACTGTTCAGGAGCCCAAGACATTACTCAGTACAGAGCCCGAGCAGTTAGGCCCATTTTGGCCCATCCGGCCCACTTTAGCCTTTCGGCCCGTTTGGCCCATTAGGGTAGATTTACTCCCTTTCCTCCTTTTCCCTATAAATATGGGGCTTTCCCACATGTTTGGGGATCCCTTTTTGGGTTGATCCCTTCCTTCTTCCTTCTTCCTCCTTCTCTCTAGAATAGCTTAGAACTCCATTAATGGGAGCTTCAATACTTGTACTATGTAATGGTGAGGAGAGTCTTAATGAGAATGAGAGGACTTGGACATTAGCCTAAAAAGTCCCGTGGTTTTCTCCCTTTCGGGTTTCCACGTAAAAACTGGGTTTGTTCATACACATTTATACATATATTTACTATATCGTGTTGGATTAAACTCAACAATGTATATATATATGGAAGAAATCAAATAAAAAGAGGTTCTGCCGTGCAAAGTGCGAACGGTTGCACTTTTTCTTCATCGCGTTGCACTTTTGCGTTTTTCTCCTGCACTTTTTCGCGGTGGCAAATAACTTCGCTTTAATTACGAAATTGCCACCGCATTTTTGATCAAATTTAGTTCACTTTTGGCTCATTTTGAGCCATTAGATCTGAAAATGAATGCACAAGATTAATTCTCACTTTGCATGGGAAGACCTCTTTGTATTTGAATCATCCCATATATATATGTTTTGGTACAAAATGAGTATGAAATTATTAAAAACTCATTTTTGTGTGTTCATTCATTTTGGGCATAATACTCATTTGAATTTAACTTAAAACTCATTTTGAAATATGCATGAATATGACATTTTAAAATGAGCACAAAGTAGCACCAAGTGATCTGAGCACACATAACTTCCAAAATGAGCATCAGAAAAATTAAAAGCTCATTTGTTTGTGCACATTCGTTTTAGGCATTTTACTCATTTGAGTTTAACTTAAAACTCGTTTCTGATGTGAATTTCATAATATGTTTGAAATGTGCAATTTTTTAAAATGAACATAAAACAGTACCAAATGAGCATACATAATTTACAAAATGAGTATCAAAAAATTCAAAACTTTATTTGTGTATGCTCATTGATTTTGGGCGTTATATTTGATATGTGCACGCATCATTTTAAAATGAGCATAAAACAATACCAAATGAGCATACATAATTTACAAAATGAGTATGAAATTATTAAAAACTCATTTTTGTGTGTTCATTCATTTTGGGCATAATACTCATTTGAATTTAACTTAAAACTCATTTTGAAATATGCATGAATATGACATTTTAAAATGAGCACAAAGTAGCACCAAGTGATCTGAGCACACATAACTTCCAAAATGAGCATCAAAAAAATTAAAAGCTCATTTGTTTGTGCACATTCGTTTTAGGCATTTTACTCATTTGAGTTTAACTTAAAACTCGTTTCTGATGTGAATTTCATAATATGTTTGAAATGTGCAATTTTTTAAAATGATCATAAAACAGTACCAAATGAGCATACATAATTTACAAAATGAGTATCAAAAAATTTAAAAAACCTCATTTGTGTATGCTCATTCCTTTTGGGATTTATGCTCATCTGAATTTTAACATAAACTCATTTCTAATATGCTAAATATTTATTTGTGTATGTTCATTCTTTTTGGGTATTATTATTGTACTTATTTCAAATATGCCCATCCAATACTCCAAAAACGTGATTCGGCCAAAAACAAAAAAAAAATTGTAATTTTACTTACAAACAAAGGCCATGTGTTTATTGGAAGCACGATTTTGCTTCAATTATAACAAAAAAAAAGCTTCAGAGTCCGTTCCTTATCTGCTTCTATTATTCGTAGTCTTATTCGCGATGAATTATACCAGACGAGCATCATCAGCCGGTTCCTGTCGTGTGCTTCAAGTCCGTTCGCTGCTTCAGAGGTTCTGTTCGTCATTGTCCTTCGCCGATGGATTGCAGAGCCTGGATTTAATTGAAAAAATGGCCGGTTGTACGGTGCTCACTGTACAGCCGGCTGTACGGTATAATTTACGATTATAATAGTGCTGCCCACATTACTATTGCGTATGATAATTATATATCCCTAAAGAAACACAAGAGTCTACAGAGAATTCGAGAAGGTTGTTCAGTTATTCGAGCAATGAGGAAAGCCAAGACACACTAGTGAAGAAGCACAATTACTACGTATTATCCGCGTCCAATATTTTGATCGAGTGAGAGAAGAGAACGAGTATGATGCATTAATTTCCTTCGATGGACCAATGACAGAAGAGTAGCTTAGTAAAATTGGAAGTCTTGCATATATATATATAGAGAGCTCTTCTCATCAGGCCGGCCTGACGGGCTGCCCCGTCCGGCCGAGCCCGTTTGGGCACCTTCCCGGTGGAATTTTTTGATGAAATTTTTTGAGCATGTTCCTCATCAAGTCTAGTTTGTCCATACCAAATTTCAGCTCAAAATTCGATCGGGAAGGTTGTCAAATGATTTTTGCAAGTTAACTGGTCCGGAAAATACATATTCCGGACCAGTTAACTTGCAAAAATCATTTGACGACCTTCCCGATCGAATTTTGAGCTGAAATTTGATATGGACAAACTAGACTTGATGAGGAACATGCTCAAAAAATTTCATCAAAAAATTCCACCGGGAAGGTGCCCAAACGGGCTCGGCCGGACGGGGCAGTCCGTCAGGCCGGCCTGATGAGATGATTTCTCTCTCTCTATATATATATATATAGAAAAAAGATCCCATGAGAAGGCTGGTTTGGGCTGAAAAATGAGAAGTGATATACACCATTTGATCTTCTCACCCAGGGCCATCTGGATCGTCCGATACCTTCAATGCTCCGTTATTCATTAATGGCTTTTTTGAAATTAAAAGCAACTTTAAATCTTCTTTTATCTTATGTTTACACAGACTTTAGCCCTCCTTCCGCAAAACCCTTTGTTCTGCCGGCGACTAACTCCGTTTTGCTATGCTCTCCGCCATGGATTCACTCTCTCCACCATGGATTAGTCTCTTTCTGTGTTCCAACAATTATTCAAGCTATTACACATCCAAGGTTTGTTTACAACTCGGTCTAGAGTATGATTTTTTCGCTTCATTCTTTTAAACATCCTTTTGATTGTAGTTATCTCTGGACAGGATGTGTAGATTCTCAAGATGAATTGTCATCGAGTGTGCCAGGCAACATGAATAATCGTCTGTCGAGGAACTCTAGCTACACAGAT